GTCAAAGGCGTCTACAAACTGATCCCTCAGCAACAGCTTGAGGACATTAGGTATTGCAGTTGGGGTAGGCCTTGTGTGCCATACTTTCCAAATCCTGTGCCAGCTCTTGCAGGCTCTCCCCTTTAGCACTCTAGTCCTAAACCTAGCCCTGTAGACTTTGGACTGATTCTGAGTTCCATACCCGAGTTCTAGAAAAGCTAATAGTGCTCTATAGTTGTGCCTGTTGTCTGCTGACAACTGTCCAAGTATTTCAAGTGGTTGTCCCTTTAGGCTCGTTGCCAGGTACACTGCTTTCTGCTTCTCTGTCCATCCATTCATTTCTGCCAGGAGCTCAAATTGTTTATCTATATGCTTCCCATGGTGCCTTCCCATCAAATTTCTGTGGCTTCCTTCATACTAGATCACCCCTATTGCTGACACTTATGTCTGGAATGTGATTTCTGGCAGGACTTAAGATGTCTGCATTAGGGTTTAGCTGCAGGGTCTGGAAGAGGCTTCCTGTTGTCTGTGGCTGATTAGGTCCATGGTTAATATATCCTTCCTGTGTAAAAGACAGTTAATCGTCCTTTAATATATTTGATTCACTTGGAAATTTACTAATCTTTTCCACTTGTGTATGCTGGCTTTCGCTCAACTGTTTGAGACTTTCTTCTTGTTTATTTTCTTTCTCCTCCAACCACTGCTGTAGTCTCTCTTCTTGTTTCCTTTCTTTTTCCTCCAACAACTGCTGTAATCTCTCTTCTTGTTTCTTTTGTTTTTCCTACAACAACTGCTGTAATCTCTCTTCTTGTTTCTTTTGTTTTTCCTACAACAACTGCTGTAATCTTTTTTCTTTATTTTGCTGTTCGAGCTGTCACTGTTGCAGGTTTTCTTGCCACTGCTGTTGTCTCTCTTCTTGTTTCTTTTTCCTCCAACAACTGCTGTAATCTCTCTTCTTGTTTCTTTTTCCTTCAAAAACTGCTGTAATCTCTCTTCTTGTTTATTTGGCTGTTCGAGCTGCCACTGTTGCAGGTTTTCTTGCCACTGCTGTTGTCTCTCTTTTTGTCTCTTTTCTCATTCTTCTTGTTTCTTTTGCTGCCATCAAATCAGCTAAGCTGTAGTTTGATTTGCCACTTCTCGTTTCCATCTTCTTTTTTTTCTTTTCCGTCCCACTCTCTGACACCAATTTGTTACGTATCTGCTCGTTTGTTAATTTCTGGTATAAATTCTTTCTGAGGAACTTCAGTGATACAAGTCCTTTCTTAATTAAAACTAGTTTATTCTTTCTTGATATTACTTTTTAGTACACAGAATTTCTACAGTCACTTTAAACTTAACAACCTTTATAACACACGCTAGAAATCACAGTGATTCACACACTTTACTTACAGTGCCTACTTTTCGTATGACTCAATTATCTATCTCTTCAATCACGCTGGTTTTTCTCGCCAGGCTTATATACTAAAAAAAAGAGGTGCCTCGAAGAAACTAGAGTTGCCAGGAAAATTCATGATCCTTCGAGAAACTCCAGCGCGCATGCTCCCAGCGTCAAGTGACTTCCACTGTTGTAACAATATTATGCAATAAAAAGGTCTAACTTTAGGTCAGAGAATAACACAAGTTTATTTATTGATAATATTAAGTATGGTAAATTAGAGTCAAAAACTTATACACGTTACAGTGGTAATTTAACTCTTCATCAAATACAGGCCATATGTAATAAAGGCTTAATTAATGTTAGGCCTAAAATGAGTGGACTTATAGATTTCAATGTCTGCATTTAGAATTCTTTTGTATTATTAGGTTGTCAAGAAATTAATGTCGTGTTTTGGAACATTTTCATTAACTACCCCCAAAAAAACATACATCACGTATAATAGTTAAATCAACCACCTAAACATCACGTTAATGTAGCCTATATAATGTGTAAAGTTTAGTATACTCTTATCCCTTATAGTGATGACACACGACGAGACACACACACACACACACATTTAGCATGTAATGCTGTTTGAATACAAGAAAGGAAACAATGCCTCTGTTGCCACAAAGATTATCAAAAAAGTTTATGGAAATGTTTTGAACGTTCATAAGTGGCAGTGATAGTTCAGCAAATTTCGTTCAGGTGACTTAAAAACTGTGAGTGGCGAGGGG